GGCCCCGCCCCCAGCGCGCGGGCCCGCCCACCCACATGGAGAGCGCGCCGACCCGCCTCTCCCCCGTAAAGAACAGAGGCTCCGCCCCCAGAGCGCGGCTCCCCCTCCCACATAAAAAACAGAGGCCCCGCCCCCAGCGCGCGGGCCCGCCCACCCACATGGAGAGCGCGCGACCCGCCTCTCCCCCGTAAAGAACAGAGGCTCCGCCCCCAGAGCGCGGCTCCCCTCCCACATAAAAAACAGAGGCTCCGCCCCCAGAGCGCGGGCCGCCCCTCCCAGAGAACAAAGGCTCCGCCCCCAGCGCGCGGCCCGCCCCGCCCATACAGAGAAGAAGCTCCGCCCCCGGCGCGCGGCTGACCCGGTGGCGAGGCGCAGCCGCGGCGGCCCCGCCCCGCTCCGCAGCGCCCGGCTGGCAGGTGAGGGCGCGGGTCAGTGTGCGGTTTCCCGGGCCAGGCCCCGCGGTGGCCCGCCTTGCGGGGCGGGGCGGGGGGAGCGGGGCGCTCCGGGCCCACAGCGCCGCCTGGCCCCGGGTCGCACGTTCTGTACGTCTAACTCCCCCCCCCGGGTGGGCGGGGCCGGGAGCGCGCGCGCTGCGGGGCGGGCCACGCCCCCGACGGCCGGGGCTGGGCCCGGGGCCGCGGACTCACCTAGCACGGCTTCCACGGTGCTGCCCGCGGCGGCGGCGTCCGGCGCGGCGGTGGGGGAGGAGCTGCCCGAGCCGGGGCTCGAGCCCGCGCTGGCGGCGCGGGGCTGAACCACTGCGAACACAGCCAGGTGGTTCTGTCCGAAAACACGCACAGGGTGAGCCGGTGCCCGGGGTCTGCTCCCGACCCTGCCCGAGCCCAGCCCGTCCTGCTCGGCGGCCCGCAGCGCGGCTTCTCCCCGATGGGCCCCGGAGCACGCCCGCGGCCCCGCACGGCGCTGGGGACCGTCCTTGTCCATCGCCAGGCGTGGGTCGCCGTCCAGCCACCGGGGCATACCATGCCACCTCCCGCTGCGAACTTCCGATTTGTTTTTAATTCATTTTGTTTGGATAAAATTTACCATCTTGATCGTCCCCTGTGCGCAGGTGCTGGTGTGGGGGCTTGAACTCAAGGCCTCAAGCGCTCTCACTCAGCTTTCTTGCTCATGGCTCACAGGCTACTCATTGAGCCATGCCCCCAGTCCAACATTTTGGAGGTTAACTAGAGATAGTCTGGCTTTGAAGCTGCCAGTCCTCCCGGCTCAGCCTCCTCAGCAGGTAGGGTTGCCGGTGTGAGTCAGCACCCCAGGCCCCCACCTTACCACTCATCAGGACTCTGAGGTGGTTCTCTCCCCCCTTCCAGTCAGGGTCTCAACATGTAGCTCAAGCTGGCCTCACACCTGAGCTTCTCCTGCCACAGCCTCCTCCACCCCCGTGCTCACCGCTTTCCAGTAGCACAGGCAAAAAACACCCCACCACTGAATCTGTAGAGCAGCACTGTCAGGAGGAAACGGTGCTTCTCAAAACACCAACACCCGCGCCCAGTGGCGAAGCCAGTGCTGCTCTGTCCGGGGGGGCAACATGAAACCACAGCACACCGAGGCTTGGCCACGCTCATGAGGGCAGACTGACGAAACAGAGGCCCGTCCACAGGCAGGAGCTCCACTGGACCTCAGGTGTGCCCAGAGCCACTTCTTGGGGACACAATCAGGTGAAGATGAGCTCACTCGGATGGCGCTCACCCAACTAACTCACGTCCATACAAAAGAGATGGCGCGCCGGGCGCTGGTGGCTCACGCCTGTAATCCTAGCTACTTAGGAGGCTGAGATCTGAGGATCCCAGTTCAAAGCCAGCCCGGGCAGGAGAGACCGTGAGACTCCTATCTCCAATAAACCACCAGAAAACCGGAAGTGGCGCTGTAGCTCAAGTGGTAGAGAGCTGAGGGACAGTGCCCAAGCCCAGAGTTCAAGCCCCACAACCGACAAAAAAATAAAAAAAAATGGCGGGCTGGCTCAGTGGTAGAGTGCTTGCTTCACATGCACCAGGCCCTAGGTTCGGTTCTTCAGCACCACATACACAGAAAAAGCTGGGAGTGACGGAAGTGGCGCTGTAGCTCAAGAGGTAGAGTGCTAGCCTTGAGCTGAAGAGCTGAGGGACAGCGCCCAGGCCCAGAGTTCAAGCCCCACGAAAAAAAAAAAAAAAAAACGATATAGAGCACTCAAAAAGCTGGGAGTGGGGCTGGGAAGGTGGCTCAGTGGTAGAGCACTTGCCTTGCATGCCTGAGACCCTGGGTTCTATTCCTCAGCTCCACATAAGCAAAAAGAAAAAAGCCAGAAGTGGCGCTGTGGCTCAAGGGGTAGAGCGCTCGCCTTGAGCTGAAGAGCTGAGGGACAGCGCCCAGGCCTAGAGTTCAGGCCCCATGACCGGACCCAAAAAAAAAAAAAAAAAAAAAAGCTGGGAGTGACGCTGTGGCTCCAGTGGTAGAGCGCTCACCTTGAGCTGAAGAACAGTGCCCAGGCCCAGAGTTAAGACCCACAACCAACCAAAAAGAGAGAGAGAGTAGGGCCCCTCACCTGCCTGCCCCTCCGCCCCACGCCTGCACCCCTCACCTGCCTGCCCCCCCACCCCTGCGTGGCATCGGGACTTAGAGAATGAACATCTGTGAGGCTGTCACAGCTGACCACAGAGGGGTGCTGAAGCCACAGAGAAAACTCTATGGAGGTTTGTGGTTTGTTGTTTCCTAGGACACAATGTTTTAGGCAATGAAACACTTGAATACAAGAAAAAAAGATACTTTTAGGAAAAACAAAAAAACCCAAACCGGTATTAACCGGATGAACCAAGAGCCAACAAGAACCACAGTGTGTTCAAACAAAGAGGTTAGCAAAGGCACTAGGAACCCTCAGCCCCTGGGCCCACCTGCTTGCCGTCCAGCTGGCTGCACTTCTGACTGCCTTCCGAGGGCGCCTCTCTCCACTTGGCCTGCAACAGAAAAACTGCTCAGGCTGGGAAGACCGAGCAGGCCTCACCCGGCAGCACACAGCCAACGCGCCGCTCAGGGCTTGGAAATGTGAAAAAAATTATTATTTTTTTGGCAATACTAGGGCCAGTCTAGCTTTGAACTGGGGTCCTCCCAAGCTCACCCTCCCGCGTAGCTAGGATTACAGCCGTGACCCGTGAATGCCCTGCAGGAAATCCCTGATTCCTGGAGAGTCCCACAACAGCTCGGTGCGGACGCAGCCCTGGTGACAGCATGCGAGCACCATGCCCCACCGCCTGCCCTGCGCCCGCCCGCGGCCCCCACCGCCTGCCCTGCACCTGCAGAGCCTTGGACAGGGCCGGGCCTGGACATGCGCACGCCCCTCCTTTGGTCTTGCTTGGGTGCCTGGCCCAGATCCGAGGTGGGGAAGAACCCATGAGGCCCCTAGAGTGGGCGTCCCCCGGAACAGCCCTGCTGGATTTCCCGGGGGAGCCCCGGGAAGGCAGGGGTCTCAGTATGCGGAACGCCAAGGATCCCGTGGGTAGGAGGTAGGAGCACGTCCCAGGAGGGCAGCGTCCCCTGGGGCTGTGCCCACCAGCCCACGCTCGCCAGCCAACTGGGGAGAGGGCAGAGGCCTCAATAGCCCGGACACAAGTGGCCTGCACCCCGGGCAAGCCGACCGGGCATGTTTCCTTGTGCCTGGAACTTTCTTAGAAGCCAATGAGCATGTTGGTTCCCGTTTCAAAATTCAGCTAAACTTTGACCCCACCCAGTCTAGGGGCTGACAGCAATGAGACCGTGACTTCCAGATGAGAGGGAGAAGCCGCCTGTCTGCGCCCTCACGCCCCTCCCCGCCAAAGCCCAGTGTGCTGGAGTGCCACGGACGGTGTCACACACACCATGCGGCTCCGTGATGACCTCCGCACCCCCCAGCTCTGTGAGCACAAGCACCTGCTAGGCCAAGGCCCCTCCTGCTGGCCGGCACTGTAGCCCCCCCGCCCAGGCTGAGGTTCTTCTAGGCTGTGGAGAGGAGCCCCAACACCAGCAGGCAGCCATCCTGTCTCAGGCTGCCGTGGGCCCGAGCGCGTCTACTTACATGTCCGGGCTGACTGCTGGGGGCCGGGGCGCCGCCGCTGGGCAGGTCACGACAACCCCACTCACTCCCTAGGACGAGGCTCTCTGCCAAGAAAGAGGAGCGGGCACTAAGGGCCACCGGCAGCGGACAACACGCCAGGCTTTCAGGCCCTAGAGAGTCAGGGCACGGAGCTCATGCTGCTCTGGGGACGGTGGCCAGCCAAGATGGTCACATAGACCAAGGCCTCCGTGAGGTCTTCACATTCAAGCCTTGAGTGAATTTAACACTCAAAGTCCACGTTTAAAATGTGAAGAGTAGAAAGCTGAGCTGGGAGCATGTCTCAGAGTGGTAGAGCACCTGCCTGGCAAGCTCAAAGCCCTGAGTTCAAACCACGCTACTGTCAAAATGAAGGACAGGCCTGTGTCTCACTCCAGCTGAGATCTGAGAATCATGGTTCCAAGGCAGCCCAGGCAAGGGCTCTCTGAGACTCTTACTGCCAATTAACCAACCAAAAGCCAGAAGCAGAGCTGTGGCTCAGGTGGTAGAATATCAGCCTTGAGCAAAAATCTCAAGAGACAGCACTCAGGCCCTGAGTTCAAGCCCAAAATTATCACAAATTAAAAAGACTAGAAAGTAAAATTTGAGTGTGGGTCTGGGAATGTGCAGAGTGCTTGCCTAACATGCATAGAGCCCTGGGTTTGCTTCCTCAGCACCACATTCACAGAAAAAGCCATACGTGGAGCTGTGGCTTAAGTGGTAGAACGCTGGCCTTGAGCAAAAGAAGCTCAGGGACAGCGCCCAGGCCTTGAGTTCAAGCCCTATGACCAACCCAAAAAAAACAAAAAACTGGAACCCAAACGCTAAAGCGGGGGAGCGTGCGGAGCAGGCTGCCACACTCCTCCCTGGGGACAGGACCACCTGCAATGAGCACCAGGCCCAGACCCGCTGGCCTCACTTCTAGGGCCTCTGGTGCCTCCCCAGGTGAGCTGAGAGACGCCCCTCCCTCCACAGAGGCCCACCCTGGGTCCTGGGCAGCATGGACCACCCCGGGCGAGGTGCGGGTGAGTAGGTGGGGCAGCAGGACAGGACCCAGGTCTGCACGGATCCCGGGGCTGGAGGCAGGAGGCCCCCTGGGCTCCGCACCGCCCAGTCTATGGCAGGTATGAAAGGAGGGTCCTGTGCCGTGGCCCCCCCCCCCGCCTCCCCCAGGGGGCCGAGCGCAGCCGGGCACTCCTGGTCCTCGGGCCGTGGAGCCAAGATCCTGTTTCCCTAGCCCTCAAAGCTTGCTCGGGTTGACCCTAACAATCACACGTGCTGAAGGAGGGCCCCCAGACCACCCGCACACACGTGTGCACCCTGGGACCGCCGACTTACTCTCTGCGTGTGCGAACGCACAGAAGGGGCCCCGCGGGCAGAAGCCGGTCTGACGCATGTCGTTGCACTTGGTCGACTTGTAGATCTAGCAAGGAAAACCAGAGGTGAGGGCTGCGCTGGCGGGCGGCTGGGAGAAAGGCGGGGGGGGGCAACCCCCTGTCCTGGGGCTGCCAGTCCACCGGCCACAGGGCAGGCGCCACGGGCCCACGGCCACCGCAGGCCTGACGCAGCGGACCGGACGACCGTGACGACCTCTCCTGCCACCACCCCGCCCTTGCTCCACACCCAGCGAGGCGCAGGCCGGTCCCGCGCCTCCCAGCTCCGCCGCCCGCGTCCCGAGCCCGACGCCAGGGCCCCCCTTCTCTCCTCCGCCACCCGCGTGGGGCCACCCGTGGCGGGGTGACCCCTCGGGCCCTGCCTCTGCTGGCGGCCCCCCTCGTGCGGCGCTCACCTCGGGGTGGAACTGCTGCTCGGTGCGGGAGTGGCAGTACTGGCAGCCGTCCCCCCCATCGCAGCGGGAGGGCTCCCCCCACTCATCGCCAAGCTTCACGCTGGGGCACGGTGTGGACCTGGGGGCGAGGACCAGCACAGGTCACGCCCGCCGGGGGGCCGGCCGGGGCAAGGCACCCCGCCGGGCGTGACCAGGCCGGAGGCAGCATCGGTGCCCCAGCAGAGACCCTGCGCGGGGCCAGGCCGACCCACCCACCTGTACTGGAACCTCCCGGGCTTCCGCCGGCGGTCCCGGCTGTTGTGGTAGTGTGGGCAGGCGTAGCCCTGGCGGCACAGGCGCGGCGGCTTCGGGCACTGCTCGGTCTTGTAGCTGCCCAGAACGAAGCTGGCATCTACAGAACAGGGGGGCAGACACCTGGCCCCGGGGCCTCCAACCGACCCACAGCCACGCGTGAGCGAGCATGGCTGACCACATGATGGACACTCCAGCCACGAGACGGCGGGCTAACAGCTCCCTCCACGTGGACCAGTCCTGAGAATGCCACACACAGCAGAAGCCACGGACACGGGGGCCACGGGGCTTAGATGTACAGAACAGGACGTCCAGACACCGAAAGTGGGACAGAGGTGGCCGGAGGCAGAGGGGGGGAGGCAGAGCAAGACTGGGGGGTGGGATTTCCTTTCCTTTTGGCCAGTCCTGGGGCTTGAACTCAGGACCTGGGCGCTGTCCCTGGACTGCTTCCGCTCAAGGCTAGCACTCTACCACTTGAGCCACAGCGCCACTTCTGGCTTTGTCTGTGTATGCGGTACTGAGAAATCGAACCCAGGGCTTCGTGCATGCTAGGCAAGCATTCTGCCACTGAGCCACATTCCCAGCCCCTGAGATTTCCTTCTGAAGTAGGGCTGGGCATAGTGGTGCACTCCTTGAATCCCAGATACTCAGGAAGTAAAGATCAGGAGGATCACCGTTCAAGACCAACCTGGGAAAAAGTTAGCAAGACTGCTATCTCAGTAAGCAAGCTGAGCGTGTTTTTGGTTCAGTGCTTTCTCCACGCACAGGCAGACCCTGAGAACCACCATTGGCTTGTGGCTCCATCGGTGCATCCTTGGGGATGAGTGGGCTATTCTTTTTTTTTTTTTTGGTCCAGTCCTGGGGCCTGAACTCTGGGCGCTGTCCCTCAGCTCTTCAGCTCAAGGCTAGCGCTCTACCACCTGAGCCACAGCGCCACTTCTGGCTTTTTTTCTTTTTGCTTATGTGGTGCTGAGGAATCGAACCCAGGGCCTCATGCATGCAAGGCAAGCGCTCTACCACTGAGCCACCTTCCCAGCCCCTGAGTGGGCTACTCTTAAAACTTCACTACCCAGAGGGGTGTGGACAGAAGCCGACAGACAGAGGCAAGCAAGCAGGGAGTGGGCTGCTGCCATGGGGTTTCCATCCAGGCGGCGGGAAAGTTCTAGAACTTGACTGGTGATGGCAGCACAACACTCGAATGTGCCGCTGAGTTGCTCACTTGGGCACAGTGAGCTCTGAGTGTGCGCTCTACCTACAAAACCCCCAAGCCTTCCTTGGTCACCACCAGCACACCAGCCCCAGGGGCCAGGGAGCACACACAGGCGGAGGCCCAGGGGGACAGGCCACCAGCGCAGCCAGGGCGGGGCGGGCGGGACACCTGGGCGCGGACGTGCGCCACCCCACGCCAGCCATCCAAGTGCCCACAGCGCCTGGGCCGGGCCCCCCGGGCGGTGCCCCTCCCGCTGCCCCGCTGGCTCACCTTGCCAACGGGGGTCCTCGCCCAGGGTCTTCTCGATCATGGCCTGGCTGGCCAGCACGCCAGGCTGCAGGTCGGGCACACCATCCCCGCCACCAAGCTGGCCATTCTGCAAGGCCTCCTGAGCCTGTAGCTCCCTGCAAGAACACAGCCGTCACAGGCCCGGGCAGCCCGGACGCCACGCGCGGACGCTGGCAGCAGCCTGCCACCCCTGGGTGCAGCCCTGGGGTGTGATGGTCCTCACCCGGACCCCGCGAGTCACAACTAGCTCTGCTCAGAAGCGTGCAGGTCCACCTGGGGGGCCAGGTGTGGCGGCACACGCCTGTAATCCCAGCCTTCAGAGAGCTGAGGGGGCGGGGTCTGGAGTTTGAGGCCAGGCTGGGCTACACAGCCACACACCCCAAGATGGAGAGCAAGGCAGAGAATGAAGAAATGCATCTCGCTGGGTCTCAGCAAGCTGGGATCGGAGCTGCGCCCCTGGGTCTCAGCAAGCTGGGATCGGAGCCGCACCCCTGGGTCTCAGCAAGCTGGGATCGGAGCTGCGCCCCTGGGTCTCAGCAAGCTGGGATCGGAGCCGCACCCCTGGGGGCCACGGGGGCCGCATGTCCTCACCGGATGTCCCACACGGGCGGCCGCAGGTCCAGGGGGCCATGCGCGAAGGCGCAGTGCAGCCCATTCTTCACGCAGTGGCCGCGGGCGTCGGTCTCATGGATGCACGTGCCCGTCTTGTAGTAGCGCAGGTGGTACTTGCGCTCCGTGTCCCCAGTGGTCCGGTGCAGGTAGGGGCACCTGGGAGGCAGAGGAGTGGCGCGTTCCCTCGGGTCCCTCGGATGGGGGGCTGACCCTTTGCGTCCCCCGCCGTGCCACACCCCGCCCCGCCCCGCCCCGCCACACGGGGGCGGCAGACTTCTGATCTGGCTGCAAAGAGGACCATACCAAACAGGCACCTACCCCCAATTTGGGACCCTTGCCTAAGGACTGAGGCCAAATCTCCCTGTTGTATACAGCAGGGAGAAAACAATCACAACCACTGACTGTGCGGGAAGCCAGGCCTTGGGCACATTTAGTAACAGTTCTAAAGTTGTCGGTGCCTGGCATGCGGGCCGGTCCTTTCCTGGCAGGCGTGGTGACTACCTCCAGCACCCAGGGAACTCAGGGACCAGGAGAGGGGAAGGGGAGGCCGGGGGTGGGAGAGCCCGGGCCTGGAGGGGTTAGGGAAGAGCCGCAGATGGTGGCATCGCCTGCCACGGCCTCCTCGGAGAGCGACGGGCAAGCGACTCGCAGGGCAGTGGCTCAGCCGGTGCCTCCCAGAGCCTGAGCTGACCCTTGGATGGGAAAGAGGAAGCTGCGACCTCAGAGGGCCTGAAGGCCCGGGGCGGAGCACACACAGGCACACGCCAGGACCGGCTGCCCACCAGGCTGCACTCCGTTCCTATGGGGGCAGGGTGTCATCCACATGACCTGGGGAGGCCAAGGGGACCCCACCTGGGGCAGGCCTGCCCAACGGACCAAAGTGTACCAGGCGGCCCCAGAGCCAGGCCAGTGGTGAGGGGAATGGGGTGGGGAGGGGGACGGGGT